GTCCGTCGGCACGGGTGAGTACTGATGCCACAAATAAAAATGTTGTGGATTTTGTTTTGACAAATTGTCTGTTTTGGCTTCGTGGGCAAATCATCTCGTATATTTTCTACATTATAACTCAATTATGTTTTGTACTTGCTCTTGGTTACTCCATGGAACTATAAACCTAGTTCCATGGTTACTCGAATTGCATTTCATGAACGCAGAATAATTTGCGAACGCATAAATCACCGATTTCAAACTTTTTGCATTTCGTAAATATCGATAGTGACCAATCTGTTTGTATTTCAAAAAATTGTAACATGTTCCAATTATTAAAATTAAATTAAAAAGAGAATAGTAAATAACTTAGTGTGTATTGCAGTTCATGTCATAAATGCGAGAATGCTGTATGTAAATGATATGCAAATTGATATGCAAATTTATGCTAATTAGGCCGCCCACCAGCTAATTTGGATTGTGGAGAACACTGGGACATCTGTTGTTCAAACTCAGGGAAGACTTTATACTGATGAATAAAGTGACCAAGTTTGATAAAGTTTGGAATAGAATTAGTAAAGTTATTATGCACACAATGACAATTATTAACGCCGACGACGTCAACACCGGACAAAATTTTTCCCTTAATATACATGTGTACCTTTCCCTTCCATCTTTGATGGTACGGGCAAGGTAAAAATGAATTAGTATCAATTTAGAATACTTTTTTTTTTATTTATTTTTTAAATTAATAATTGTTACTTCTTGCATATTGATCTCATTACAGTGAAATGTGTACATCACAAGAGGGAAGGCGTCATAACTGCTCAGACATACTTTTAATTACCTGTAATCATAAACAGTTTTAGAAATTTTGGTCTTGTAATTCAAATAAAAGACGGCAAAAGCTGACTTTTAAGCACCATTGAATTTTCTGACTAGTTTTTTTGAATGTACTATTTTTGATTTTATCAAACTTGGTAAATGCAGCATGCATATTGTGCACTGAATGTAAAATGTCCTTCCCTGTATAGTCAAGAGATCTCATATTGAGAAATCTCGGTGGAGAGCGAAGCATTTATTATAGCATTCTATACTAAACAGTAACTTACTGTAAGCAAAGCTACCGTGTGAAGAGGTAAAATGCATATCAGTCTCATCTAGGACACCCAGGTTTTTTTTAAGCAAGGGAACAGAGAGTAAAATTCATGTATATCATCTGAGAGGCATGCAATAAAAATACTGTCTCAATATGGTTATTTGTGCTATGAAGGAAGGAGAACATTTGCCATCCCAATATCGGGCAAATTATCTCTTGTGCTGAGGCACAAATTCTCATATTGGAACAGTACGGCTAGATTTTTATTATCCCTTGTTTCACGAACCCATCAAATGAATAAGAGCCGAAAATGAAATAAAAATAAAATTTTATTTCGTGTAATTTCTCGCGCCCGCCGAATTGCGAGTGAAAAAAATTACTAAAAAAATTGTTATCTTCCATTTTTTTTCCCGCCAGCCGCATAACAAACCCAAGTGGCATTTTCGTCTGAGTATCATGATCAAAGTCCCGAAGTCTCACTCAGATGAGAAACAAGGTTATAACATGGAATAAAATGTTATTTCATTTCTTCTCTCCGATCAATGATCTCACTTACAATTCTTTGAGAATCACACAAATCTAATGGAAAAAAAGAAATATTTTTATTTTTTTTCCGCCCTCAAAAAAATTGCCTTATAAAAACTTGAGAAACGAGGAATAAAAAAAGTCTGGTCTAATGCACAATTCTAGTTCAATTTCGTTTGCTGTTTTGACATGTAATATAATCTGATCTATAGTGTTCAGGCTTTTTTTTATTATTAATTTTTTTGTATATTTATTTTGTTCGAAATGACAGCATTTCATTTTTTTTATTGTATTTACGTGGTTATAATATTTTGCTGCCCTACCTCCATCTGACTTGATACCCATACAAATCTTATTCAACGAGACCTATTCAGCAGATTTTGCTGATGAATCACATAGGAGTAAATTTCATTCATCATGGCTGCTGTTAGCGTTTATAGATTTATATGAACCTTATTTTAAGATTATGAAACAAGTTTTCGGTTACCTTTATGTTGAAATAATCATTGCTCCATGTGGAGTTAATAAAATTTGTTACGGAAAATTTGTGATCATAATAAAAAAAGGTTATCGAGAGCAAAACTGAGTCTCCTATTTTCTTTCAGTGTTTTATATTACACTCTTTGTACAATCAGAAGGACAACATAATCTTACATTCATATCGAATAACAATTCTGATATTGTTGATAAATTAATACAACTAATGTAATGTAAAAGCAATAGTCCATGCAGTGCAGTATATTTGAAGACAAGTTCAGAGTTATTTCTATAAAAATTGTCACATCTGTCAGCAAGGAAAAGCTTCCTTGAGCCTCCCAAACTCCATCCCTAACCCTAACATTTCACCCCCCTAATTGTACATGCCCGTCTAAACATCTGAAGTGTTCTGATTAGGGCATATACAATTAAATCGGAGGTTAGGCACTGTAAGTAATTAGATTGATGGATACTAGTAGCGGAATGTCCATGTACTATACCATTAATACCACCATCACCAAAATGTAGTGTAATAATTTTATATATCAACATTTTATTTGTCACTTTCAAATTAAATTTTTTTGTAAAGCATAACATGACCAGAAATGTAACTAGTAGTAACCATTATAAAAACATATTTCGTAGATTTTTCAAGATATGGCAGGAGAACAGAGTTAGCATATTTATTTATCGATTGTTTTCCGTGTGATATCGTCAATGGGAGGTCACACAGCGAGAACGTCCATACGCATTACACGTGGCAACTGCACAACGCTAAAACACTTCCTTACGCCTTCGACGATTTCAAAGCTTTCGCGAAAAACTACCGTCGAATTATTGCAAAAAATAGCACCGGCAAATATTGCAAAAAGATTGAATGTTGGTGTTTTCTATGTATTACAGAGAGTTATTTCAATTATTTGCGTTCTTTCTCACTTACCCCTCTCCATATTCAGGTCTCTATCAGGTGCACACAGTAAAAGGCTTGCATCCGGGCATTTCGTGAACTATGAACCTGCTACAAACATAACACGTACGCTCATATTTTTCTGGTTTATACCTGAGTAAAAAACGAAATGAAAATATATTTGATGGTTTATTTATATTAGAAAAAAATCAATCTTTTCATTACTTGGTACGAAAAAAAATATAGATTACAGTGTTCAGGAGAATGCATTTCTTACAATAAAATTTGCATATTCTCCATTTGTGCTTTGACCTGACATCCGGGGACCAACTGCAGCTGATGCATGCTAAATAAGAAACTTTATTGTTAAATATTTTATCGATGAATTGCACAGTGAATATAAATGCAAATTATTGTTCTATGTGAGGGTTATCAATATTACGCATCACGCGAATGATCTCAAAAACTCAACATCCGGGTTCGTTTGCCCCATATCTCACCGCGTTTTGAACTCAAGATGGCGGCGAAAACAGCACTTAACATGCTGACCTGCTCAGATGGCGACGAAGAAGACACTGTAGTTTACATCTATGACCGCAGACGAGGCAATGCACCCGAGAAGAAGATCCACTTAGGCGGCATATTCGATTTCGCGGCGTTTCGAACAAAAGTTCGGCAGGTATAGGGCTCGCTTCTCGCGTACCAGTTTGCTTGTTTTTGTTACATGCATTGCCATTGCCATTACGATAATATTATGACCGTGAGCTTTTATTGAATGGGCATGTGTCGATACTCGCCATACAATTACATTACTATGGACTATAATTCTTTTGTAGGCGCTTGAAATCGGGCCAAGGGATAAATTTGTAATTTCAACAACCAACAGGCTCGAAATTCGCGACGACAATACTTACGGTGAGTGTATTGCATGTAAACTTGGCAAGTTTTGGAAAATTGGTGGCGCTCGTCACGCTCGAGTCGAATCGGATCGTGTTGACAAAACACTGCGGTTGATTCGTCCGCTCGGGTCATCATTTTGTTCAAACAATGTGTGTACGCATGATTCTTTCATATATAAATGTTGTTTTGTAGGCACGTTTGACTATTATCTTGAGTTCTTAAACGGTCATATGGTCTGTTTGTTTATTTTAAAGGGCAACCTTGTCATGTCCTTGCAGTCGCATCTTGACAGGGGGCGGTCCAACATTGATTATTGGTACACTAAATTGGTTGAAATACATGCATCTGTACTACTAAAATAGTGTATGACTAAAAGTAGAGTTTATCAGCCACATTATATAATTAATTAAATTAAATATCATCACATGACTTCCTACTTAATTACTGGGGCTAAGGTATATATGACTTGCTTAACATGTTTTGTTTCTTTATTTAGCACAAAAACTTGTTAGAAAAATATAAGTAACATGGCTAATTTGTATGACCGGGAGGTGATCAAAGGAAGGAGGTGGTCAAAATCAAACCAATTTGGTTTCCAAGCTCGAAGAAGCTACTTTGTCTTGTTTGGGACCTCTGTGCTATACAATGTATACAAATTTATGCATGTATTCATGAGCTGAAAGTTCAGTGTGGGCCTCATGTACTGTTTACATCTAACTGTTTGTGAACTCACAACTGGGGGGGGGGGGATGATTGTCTTTGGGCCGTTTTTACTGTCTTTGATTGCAGCACAAAAAACAGCAATTGCATGGTTTATGTTTTTAAATAAATTCAATTCATACTGGTCAAATATTTCACTGCTATATGTACATGAAAACCTCTTCTCATTGTCAGTGATTAGTTTTCAAGTTAGCCTGACATGTCGGCCCTCATCAGCGGAACGTCATCTGACCTAAATAACGCTTGACAGAATAGTGTATGTCTCGTTGGCAAGATCAATACTGCAAATTCACAACATTCATGCATTCTTGCAATGAGTTTCAATGAAATTTCATTTTGGTGGCCATGGTAACACAGTCAATCAAAGCTGTGTTTGCATTGTCAGCAAAAATCACAGACTGTTTTCAAGAAGATGATAAACATTGGGCGGAAATTTGCTAGCACCTTATCACACTTTATGTCAACAAACAAATAAACTTTTTGATGGCTGTCACTTTCTGAGGTTGCTGCAATTTGCTTGGTATCGACAAAAAATCGTTGGGGAAAGTGAAAAACTACATTGTTCTGTCAGGCGTGTGTTGGGTTTGGAACACTGCGGAGGGCGCAACTCCCTGTGACCTTGTCATGCTATTTCGAGTATAAAGAAGAAAAACTGGAAATTATTTTTTTTGTATCAGTGATAATATTTTGTTTTCTTTGTTTCAGAGGATTTGATTGAAGGTGGGGATACTCTGTATGTACTGAATCATATGAACCAAGAGCTTGGAGCACCCACCCAGGAACGCATTGATTACCTGCCTCATTATGACACGCTGGTTAAAAGTGGAATGTATGAGTATTATGCAAGTGAGGGACAAAATCCTCTGCGTAAGTTGAAGTAATTTTATCTGCTCAGGACTGGAAATAAACAAACAGTTTCAATTGTCCAATATTTATCTTCTTGATCACAACAATTATTTTCCATGTTTAATAAATGGTTTTGTGAGACAATTTGTCTTCCTTGGGACTGAAATATAAATGATGAGTGAAATATCTTGTATATAGTGAAAACACTGCAGTATTTGATTACTATGTTTTTGTTTTTTGTTCTGCAGCCTTTGCGTTTGCAGAACTCATTGACAATGCTTTGGCTGCCACTGCTGCTAACATTGGACCCAGAACGATTGAACTTAGATTGGTAAGTAATATTTTAACTGATTTTACTGCTTAATTAATCTACTTCATTTCACTGTTAATGTTGGACCAAATATACATAACATTCATTTTAGGCTTTTATTAAACTTGGCTTTATATTGATTTATTCATTCAAAAGAAACAGTTCTGGGAATTTTTCTGTGACAAAAGTTGAACAAGATAGACACTAGTTTCTAATCATAGGTATTACAAACAAAAACTGCACATTCTTTGTTTTATATTACTTTCACTCGCTTAATTTGTTTTTGTCACAAAAAAAACTTGCTCATTTAAAAAAAAATTATCAAGATCTGTAGCCAATAGCAAATTATGTTTATTTTGTTCAAAATTAACAAAGAAATAAATGAAAAATACATGAAAATGTACAAAATGATACACTACAATACAGCTCTTTTAACATCAGTGTTTGCATTGCAACCTTGACTAAGATGATGTCTGATATGAGTGTCTAGTACCATACTCGACCGCGTTAGCGGCCATGCCCAGGCAAGTGCCCCCTTCCCACTTTTGCACAATTTTTATATTTGGAGTCACATTCGGCAAAGCGCCCACCCCTTCAAAATGCAACTAATTTAAAACTTGGTCATGTGTAACGAATCTTGGTAATCGCTTTTATATGATACAGCGTGGATATTGACCGCTGTGAATATGTTGTGAATGCGTAGACCACGGTAACCGTGCGTAAACTACGCTTCGACAATGACCTGTTAATACAAGTAAAATGCAGTAAATATTTCATGCCATATTCAGTATACCTCTCAAAATGCCTAGTTACTAGTTTTTTGGAAAAACCATGTCGTTTATTCGCTGAAATCAATTCCAACAGATCGTACTTCGACATCAATAATTCACTTCCGCAATGCGTTACCGGAAAGTCTTCGGGAATTCACGAAGGATTGCTACAGTACAACACAGCATTCTGATTGGTCAATAACCAACTTGACCCATAGGTCAAGAGACACTGCTGCAGGTCAAATCTGCAAATGCGTCATGGCGGAAAGTGATTTTCATAGAGAGTTTGCGTACGATCCAACACCTTCGTTAGTGGAGATAATGATGAGAATTTTGACTTTGACAGTCTCTAATGTTTTTAATTTCGTAAATTCTGGTGGTACGTAATTAATATTAGGCGGCAAAATGTGCATATTTTTTGTGATCATTCCTGTTTTTTCATTGTGAAAATCAATGACGACGCAACTAATTTCGTAATTTGATTTTCCCTCATTGACGTAATCTGTCACATAATGAATGAAATTTTCATTTGCTCTCTTTTTCGAGGGGGTGCTTGAATAAGTGCCCACCCCTAAAAAATCATGATTTTCTGAGTTGAGGCCCCTGGGCGCTAACGCGGTCGAGTACGTTAGAATACACAAAACATGTAAACATCAATGTGTACTCAAAAGTGAATTGGCTGAGAAGGGATTACATACAACATATGCTATGTTCACACCGCAGCATTATACTGGAGCCGATCTACTGCTCCTCCCACTGATTAACAGGAGATTATACCCAATACATTCACACGGTCGGGCCAAACAAGAGCCAAGATCTGCCAGAGTTCCGAATGGAACAGTGCCCTCAAATAATTAGTATGAATAAAACATGGTTGAAAACAATTTTGATGTCGTACTTGTGTTGATTCTTTACATGGCACGATTCTGTTCTGAAAAGAAAAAAAAAGAAAGTCATGAGTATGAGCATGGAAGTATAAATGACAATGCACTGGTGTTATAATTTAAGTACTACTAAATGTCAATTTAAACCTACTAGGAACACGTCACCGTGCCGTGACTACATCTACGATTTTTATCTTTGGTGTCCTTAAAAAGTTTCTTCAATTTCCATTGGATCTGTTCAGTCATTTTAAGTTTTTGTCGCATAATTTCGTACACCATTTTTCTGTTTCCTGTTGAGCTATCAATCTATCACAGTATTTCTTTACTCTGCCAAATAGATATTAGGGCACGTACTTAATTAAGATGCAATGTATCAACATCAAAGTGTGAACTGTCTAGGCTGCAATGTGGATCCTGTTGCTGAAAGAGTTGTAGTGGCAGGAAACATGATGCCATCAAAGAGGTTGAACAACACAAACCAACTGGAAAAATGTTTGGCATTCAGAGTGATTGACAGAGTGATAAATGTAATAACATACTCTCTTTGTTTATATCAAGTTCCTGGACGAGTCACAGACAAAAAACCACATATGTGTCGTTGATAATGGTTGTGGTATGACGTCTAGACAGCTCAACAACTGGGCTATTTATAGACTTTCTAAATTTATACGGAAAGAGAAAAAAGGGTAAGTTGCTTTTGCTGGCCTTGTATAAATGTTTTTTTTATTGAAGTCTCAATGTTAAATACCGTATTTAGAAGTGCATCTCCAATAGAAGCGCATGTAAGCCAATTTTGTTGTTTATTTTGGTTGTAATAGAAGCGCACCCACCAAGACGTCAGTATTGGATGGTTTGTTTGTATGGTTTTCAGAGTGGCATTTATAATCACGTGCTTACTTGCAAATGAATGTTCTACTTCACACATCTACCGTAATAATCCTTCTATCAAATCGACCCTCTCTATTAGTTGGACCACCTAATTTTGTCTGCAAAATTATTTTTAGTCCCCGTTCGGACACAGTCCGAAAACAGGGACTTATGTTTTGACCTCTGTGTGTCTGTGCGTTTGTGTGTGCATGCATGCATGCGTGCGTCCGGACCTGTATCTTAGAAATGCCTGGATCAATCACAATCAAACTTCACACATACATCATATATGATATTATACATATGCACGTCAATTTGTTTCACGATCTGATTCAAGATGGTCAAATGGCGGCCATTTTTGTGCTAAAAAATCCTAAAAATCAACCATTTCTCGGCTGTTTACAGATGGATTTTGTTCAAACTTGGTATATACATTAGACATTATGGGCCCTTGATGCACATCATTTTGTTTTTCAGATAAGATTCAAAATGGCCGACTGACGACCATTTTGTATTAATGAATGTGTTTCTCGTGCCATATCTCTGACTTGCTTTCACTGATTATGTTCAAATTTTAAATATTCATTATACCGTATTTGTCTTCAGTTAAGCGCCACCTTCAATTAGGCGCCAGTGCCACAAAAACTTTGTATTTTACACCTCAATTAAGCGCCAGACAAAGTTGAAATTTTGGCACGTAATGATCGTGAATTGGGCGCCGGCGGATCGACTACCGGTTACCGGTTCGTAGCGATGGACGCGATCGCGGAAGTCCCTCGCTG